TTGTTTATATTTGTAATAGTTTCAAACTAGCAAATCTGAAAATTGAAGTGAAAGTGTTTTATGCAGAAATGTATCAGTAACTATTAGTATTAATTTAGAGAAGTGATTCTCAATGGCAGGGGAGAGATACAGCCCTGGGAAATATGTAGCCAAAAATTTGTGAAGATGGAGCTTTGGATAGTTTTAAAAGACTAATTCATTATGCCTATTATTTTCATAATACAAACATCAGAAAGTAATGCTTGACAAAATCTCTGCTGGTGGGGCTATGCTAAAAGTAAATTAAGAATTTAAAAAATGAGATTTTAAGTTCTATGTTCATGGAAGACATGACGTCTATTTACAGATGACATGACTGTCTATGTAGAAATGCTCAAGGACTCTATCTATCTAAAACTAGATAAGTTTAGTTTTAGGAAGGTCACAGGATACAAGGAAAATATTAAAAAATAAGTCTTTCCTATATACCAGTGATGAACAGTAGAATTTGAACTTTAAATACCATTGACAATTGCATGTGGGCATGCACACACACACACGCACACACACACACACACACACACACAAGTAAATAGTTATACATAAATCTAACAAAATATACATATGCCGAAAACTCAAACACTGATGAAAGAACTCAAAAGATCTAGAGAAATACAGTGTTTATTAATTCAAAGAATAAACTTAATGAAGACATCAGTTCTCCCCAATTTAATCTATAGACTCAGTGCAATCTGAATCAAAATTTCAGCAAGATTTTTGTGGTGTCATAGGCTGATTCTAAAATGTATATGGAAAGGCAAAAGAATTAAAATAGCCAAAACAATTCGGGAAAAAATTCTGAAGATTTATTGTACCCAATTTCTAGATGTTATAAAGCTATAATAAGTCAGTGTGGTATTTAGAGATAGACACATCATTGGAAAAGCATAGAGCATCCATAGGTTCAGACAAATATGATAAACTGAATTTTACAAAAGGGCAAAGACAATTCAGTTGACAAAGTACAGTTGACCCTTGAACACCACAGGTTTGAATTGCATGTGTCCACTTATACATGGATTTTTTTATAAATACTGTAAATGTATTTTCCTTATGATTTTCTTAACATTTTCTTTTTCTCTAGCTTTATTAGAAGATTACAGGATATAATACATATAACATAGAAAATATGTGTTAATCGACTGTTGTTGGTAAGGCTTTCGGTCAACAGTAGGCCATGTTGTTCAAGGGCCAACTGCACGTAGTCTCTTCAACAAATGGTACTGGAATAACTGGATGTCCATATGCAAAAAAACAAAACAAAACAAAACAAAAACAAAAAACCCCCTTGATACACACCTTATATTCAAAAATAACCCAAAATGAGTCATGGACCTAAACTGTAAAATGTAAAATTATAAAACTTCTAGAACCTTGGTTTCAACTTTTTCCCTGAGACACTTTGACAATGTCTACAGACATTTTTGATTGTCACCACTTGGGGGAGGATGGTACTGGCATCTTGTGGGTAGGGACCAGGGATGCTGCCAAACATTGCACAGAAAAAATGAACAGCACCCCCACCCCCACAACAAAGAATGCTAGTTTCTTGGTTTGGATAAATGTACCATGGTTATGTAAGATGTTAGCCTTAGAGGAAACTTGGTAAAGGGCATACAGGAACACTCTGTACTATCTTTGCAAGTCTTCCATATATCTGAAATTATTTCAAAATATGTAAGTAAAGCTTGTACATTACTACTTAAGGCCAACATACTACTTCAAACATTTGATATTTTCATAATTTATTTCTATGACAGTGTACGATATCTTATAGCTGAAGTATTGTTTTGATCTTTTGCATAACTCTTGAATCCTTCAATGAAACTTATATTGCCAGTGATATATGTTGAGATTTTTGAGACCAATAAAATATTTTCAAATGTCTTTAAAGGGGTCTTCTTTGATCATCTAACCTAAAATACCCCTTGTCTCCATCAGTCAGTCTATCTTTTTTTTTTTTCTTTTCCGTAGAACTTGTTTTCTGTGATAATTTTGTTCACTTGTGGACTGTCTCCTCTTTTGGAATATATGTTCCCTGAAGGCAGGGACTCTGTTGTACCCCTAGGACCAGAACTGGCACATTGGAGATAGATACTTAATAAATATTTGTTGAATGAATGAATGATCTGTATCTGTGTTGCATCTTCCCATTAAGTGGTCTGTATTCAAAAGCTGGAACTTCTTTAAACCCACTGGCTGTGAAGGCGTAAGTCCCAACCCTGGTATCTGACTTACCCTTAATGAAAGTAATACCTCTTTTTTAAGGAGGAAGATGTATTTGTCTACACATCTAAGACTTTTCATAGTTAAAGATTTCCTTTCTGCTGGGGATGCTAGGCCAGGAGATGACAGGGTAGATAACTGTCATTTTGTACTTCTCTGGCAGATCCTTCTGATTCTCCTAGGAAGCTTTACTTTACCTGATGAGATGTTCTGCAAACCAAAGTTCTTTTATTTGTGATAGTATTTGAACCATTTCCAGAACGATTTGTAAGAGTTCCTACCTAATTAATTTTTTAAGTAAAATGTTCCCATTTCAATCAGATTATTTCAAACATAAAATTTGTGATAAGCATCAGGGGTGCCCGAGTGGTGTGGTCTGTTGAGCATCAGGCTCTCCATTTTGGCTCAGGTCGTGATCTCAGGGTCATGGGATTATGGGATCAAGCCTCGTGATGGGCTCTGTGCTCAGCATGGAGTCTGTTTAGAGTTTCTCTCTCCCTGTCCCTCCCCACTGCTTTCTCTCTCTCTCTCTCAAATAAACACATCTTTAAAAAAGTTGTGATAAGCATCAAAGGTAGAAATTAACAGACACATTTCCATCTCTCACATGGTCGCACCTGGTACGTTATTGAGCTATTTGTTGAGCTTAGCAATGGAGGCACAAATGAAGGAATCCTCAACCCCACGTGGGAAGTGTGGGAAGGCTTCAGAAAGGAGGAAACCCATAGACTAGGTCTTAAGGGAAAAAATCAGCAAGCAAGAGCAGTAAATCCTAAATTGTAAATGTTGCCATGTCTTAATTTTCATCTTGTAAAATATAGATAGAAAATTGATTCACTTTGAAGGGGCACCTGGGTGGCTCAGTTGGTTGGGTGTCCAACTCTTGATCTCAGCTCAGGTCTTGAGCTCAGGGTCATGAGTTCAAGCCCCACTTAAAAAAATGGATTCACTTTGAGAATAAGATCCTAAAGTGTATCTAATCTCTCCCTCACTTATATACAGAAAAAACACACTTCTTTCTTACCATTTTGTATGGAGAAGATGTAAAACAAACAAGGAAAATAAATCCCAAGTTATTCCCAAACAAAAGTAACTATTTTGCATCTTTCTTAAATACTAAATAACTCATGAACCTAGGTGCATACATATATTTTGATATTGAGATGTTAAAAACTGTTGGAATTGGTGATTATCAATGTACCTACCTATTTTATTTCTCTTGTTCTATTATATTTCCAAAGATTCTATTTTTCTATTTTTATTCTAAGGTAATTTTTGATAATTAAATACATCTTATTAATACACTGGTTTAATGCTATTTGTCTTTACTTATTAACCATAATATGCCTGGCTTTTCCCATTAGGAGCTGAAGGGAACACAAAAGATCATACACTCTTTCAGGAGGAAACATAAATAGAATAATGTAAATAATAGTTGTATTTAAGATAAAATATTAAGATGAATCTGATCAGATAATAATGCATGATACATACAAGTAATTGCTAGGCAACTAAAGGAAGAAATATTAACGTTATCTAGAATTATGATGGGAGCCATAGCAATTGAGGAGAAAGGAATTGAGATGCCCCTTGAAGTTTGAGCAGAATCTGGAAAGAATTTGGAAGAACTTTCTAAGCAATAAGAGCATAATAACTAAAGACATGAAGACCGCATGGACAGAGTACCATAAAGACCATCTGACTTAGAGTAGAGGATGTATGTTTCTAGAGAAATATTTCCAGTAGATTTGATGAAATGTCCTTTGTAAGCTGGCTGTCAATGAAAGTATGGCCTAAGGCAAAGAAACTTTTCTAGTTTTAATAGAACTATCTTAATCCTGAAAGGAGTTATTCCTTCAACAGATTCCTTGAAAGCCTATTTTAAAAGACTTTTAACTGAGTCCCTTTGTATAATGCAATATTCCCCGAAGTACATTTAGGTAATGGTTTTTAGATAAAAGTAGCATTCTGTAGTCAAATTTTGGAAATGTTATGTTACTGTTAAACTTTTTTTTTAAAGCGGTATGAGTTTACACAGCCTTTAATAATATACTTATATAAATTGTGACTCTTCAAGAGAAAATTTATCTGACCCCAGAATACAGAATCCTCCCTCTTTTTCTTTTTCCTTTTTTCTTCTCCTCCTCCTCTTTCTTCTTCATCTTCTTTGTCGTCTTTGTCTTCTTTTTTTGTAGCATTGATGAGGATTAGGGTTTCTTGGGACAAACTTTAGAAAACGCTGATTTAAAGCATCCACATACATACTTGAAAGAAAACGTTCTTTGAAATAAAACAAGCCTTTGGGGCGCCTTGGTGGCTCAGTTGTTAAGTGTCTGCCTTCGGCTCAGGTCATGATTCCAGGGTCCTGGGATCGAGCCCCACATCGGGCTCCCTGCTCCGCGGGAAGCCTGCTTCTCCCTCTCCCACTCTCCCTGCTTGTCTTCCCTCTCTTGCTATGTCTCTCTCTGTCAAATAAATAAAAAATCTTAAAAAAAACAAGTCTTTAATTGGGGGAGTATAAATAATAAAAATATAATATCCAGGTTCATTACTAATTAGCCTGCCTGTCTCTACTTACCTTGCTAGTGGGTAGGAAACAAAGAAGGCAAATACAACCATAAATGTGTGGGTATCTTTTTCGCAAGCATTTGACACAACAGTGTATGCTGAATGCTGTTTTGAGTGTGAATTTTCTCTAAAATTCAGATCTATCATAAACAAATGAAAATCAAGGAAGAAAATTTTAATAACTTTTAGCAAGCATTTAAAAATACTGTTCCTTATTTTACTACAATCTCAGAATTTTTTCAACACTTGTTAGGGATGTTTTAGACAGCCTTTACAGAAACACTTTCAAGGACAGTTTTAAGAGTTTACCTTTAGAAACGTAAAGTTCCTTCATTTCTATAGCTAATGGTTTACCAACAGTGCCAGTTCATCAGGGTGGAGGTGTATCACACAGCTGACCACGCTTTATGGTAGAAGGAAGCACAGCTTACTTGGAAAAGTCCCTCTAAAGAAAGAGCATGGTGAAGAATCGTTTGCTCCTAAAAGTGTTCGTCAGCTCCCTTTTCTGGAGTCAATAATGAAAACCAAACAGAAAACATACTTGATTCAAAGCCCTGTGAGTGGAGCAGTCCGTGAACTCTGTACAACTTTCTGCACAATTCCACACAGGTATCTGCACTAGTGAGGGTGAAGGGCATAAGGTTTAGGGAGAGTGAGACATAAACATGGATTGAGAGGAAGGTCTTCCCCATCACACAGTGCATCACCTGAAGCTCAAATCAAGCCAGTCAGGTGCTGATGAAAGTGTCCAAGAGCAGGAAGGATGTGAGTTGAGTGACTGCGGGAAGACTCTGACCTGTCTTGACTAGGGTTTTTATTTCCCTTTGTAAGTAAGTGAAGACTGTTGACTGACCTTTCTAAACTGGATCTGGTATATACAAAAGTCTCTTTTAAAAGATTAAAATTTAACAGAAAGTAATGTTCCTGTTCTTATATAGTTTTGGTCTCATTTACATTCTGAATATTAATAAGGTTTTAAAAGTCACACATTCAATGACAGTGAGAGATCAAGTAGTAGTGCAGTATTAAAAATCTTGTCTTAAAAATTCTTAAAAATTCATGAAGTGAATCTGACAGTGTTACTACATAGGTCATTTATTATCAAAGGAGAAATGTTATCCAAAGTCAGCAATTTGTTTGTAATACTGTATGAAAATATTTTTATATAATACAAATACAGTGTCAAAATTAAATATACATTCCATTAATTAAAGGACAACATATATTATTCTGTTAAAAATATGCTTCCCAAATTGCAAACTCATTTAGACAAATTTTATTACACATAAATGACAAAAGTAACTCAGTATTATGGTTTAGCATCCTTAAAACAGGTGACTTTCTGTTTTGTGAAATCATTCTTTATGGTCATCTTAAAACATTTGCTATACCATTAATGAAGGCGCTGTCTTATGCATTCAAGTTTAATTACATGTCTTAATCTCTCTTAAGTATCTTGGACTCCTTCATACCGCTGTTTCTTTAAGGTATTTAACTCTTACTCTCATTGGCATTACCCACATCTGTTAACTCTGAAACATTTCCAGCACAGAAGACGACAATTTTCACTCTCATCGTAGTATGCTGGTGCATAAAATTATTTTGATAATAAAGCAATGTTAATTTTTAATTCCTGCAACCTTTATATACCTCACAGATTTTATATGTCTTCTTCTGAAATTTTAAAACGGGTTTAAAACATATTATTGCAACTAATACCTTACTTGGATTGTCTTACAAAAATCACAGAATACCGATTGATTTATGTCCAAAAATATATGAAGGTTTGTCGATTGCAGCCTTTGGTTTCCACTGTTTATATCCATCTTCTAGTACTATGGTAGGAATTTCTCAATTGCTCTAATCCACTTTTACCAGGATGCATTCTGTAACTTCTAGGGTATTCTAGCCCCCCCCCCCCGGAACTGTATGAGAAGATAGATTCTTGAAGGATACAACTGAAGTTCATATGTCTTTATATTGCCACTCCATATTTTTCAATGTTCTTTGGAGCCCCTCAAAATTTTATTCCAACAAGTTTTTATCTTTTGTAGTAGTATCCCTAGGGAACACAAGCTCTTCTGTTTTCTCTGTTCCTTTACAGATTTATTGTCTTCCTAGAAAAAATATACAAAAAAAAGTTTTAAATTTCTATTTAAAAAATACACATTTTAAAATGTTCAATCTTTAATTTCCATCGTGTTAGGTTATGCTGAAGGTTTACTAACTAACCAGGATGGCTATTTTCTTCATATACTTGTTTTCTAGTTTATGTTCTATAAAAGTAGTTTGCTCATGTCTTTTGCTTATTACCTATTGATGTTCTAACTTTGTTGCTTTATAAAAAAAAATTGGTGCTCTGATATTTTCCCTAGCTTCTTTTATTTTAAAGTAATGGCTTTAAGGGGCACCTGGGGGGGGGCTCAGTCGGTTAAGGGTCTGACTCTCCGTTTTGGCTCAGGTCATGATCTCAGGGATGTGAGATGCAGACCTGTATGGGGCTCAGGCACTGGATGTGGAGCCTGCTTAAGATTCTCTCCCCTACCTCCCACCCCTGCATGCTCTCTCTCTCTCTCTCTCAAATAAATAAATCAATAAAACTCCAAAAAAAATAAAAAATAAAGCAGTGGCTTTAAAAAATGTAGTTTAAAGGGATCCAGTTTCTAAGAGGCACATCTCGTTTCCTTTTATTAACATTATAATGAATATTTTCAAAACGAACCATTAAAAAGGAAAAGGGAAACATAAAATAAAGGAAAGATTCAAAGGGAAACATAAAGGAATTAAGTTGAATAAAAAGTTGATGAAGAAAGAAAATTATACAATCACTCTCGCCAAATTTTTAGTGGGTTGGACTTCACCCAGGGAAAGTAGTTTTATTCCTTCCTTAAAAACAAAGTCACATTTATAATATTGAACATTAATCCTTTATTGCTCCTTTCATTAATGTCATTGCTAAATTTTATATTGCTGTCAAATTCATCTAATCTATTTGAGAATCTACTTTATTTTTTGATAGTATGGAAGAAGAATAATTTCATTTAGAAATAGAGTATCAGGGAAAAGGAAAAAGCGACAGGTTAGTTTTCTTTTTCCTTTTTCTTTTTAACAATTTAGAATGTTTATTTTTAAATTTTTTTATTTAAAGTTTTTATTTAAATTCAAGTTAGTTAACATGTATGGTAAAATTGGTTTCAGGTGTCAAATTTAGTGATTCTTCCCTTACAGATTTATAGAAAAGAGGACAGTAGAAATTTCATATAGAGGACTAACATAAGTAAGGGGGCAAACTGGAAATAAACTTGGCAAATCCAGGACACCGAGAGGAGACTGGCTTGCATCAAATAGATAATGTGATGATAAATGAAGTGGTCCACATTCTATCATCTATATTTTCATCATTGTCAGTGGGGCTCAAGGATAATCTTATCATCTTACTTCTTGTGGGCAGCTACTAGTATTAAAAAAATAAAAACACACAAGACCCTTTCTCTGTCATGAAAATGTTAAAAATTTCTTTTAAAAAAATCATAAGGAAGCTTTGGCTTTGTGAGGCAGCTGGTAAAATGTCTGAAGGGGGGGTTGTGGTAATAATAATAATATATCATTTATTGAAACCTTTCTAGTACTAAGCACTTTACATGAATTATGCTATTTAATTACCCCTGTCACCATCCTTTAATGTAGATTCTATATTTTTCTCCATTTTGCAGATGAAGAAACTGTGGCTTAGTATCAAGATTGTGTCTTCCAAATCTTGTTTTGTTATATTTCATAACCACTAGCAGACAAATAAGAAAAATTAGCCCTATACTTAACAAAATTATTGAAGCAAAAAAAATTATTGGAATATATATATGTTTTAACATGTAAAGTTTTAACATGTAAAGACATTTGTTAAATACATTTGATTATCTGTTTTATTGGCTATGAGTTCTTATAAATGTGTACATATATGGGTTAAAATTATTAATGAGATTTAGAGGTAAAAATTTACCATTCCCACCCAAGTTATCACATTAACCTCCTTTAAAGTTATCATAGCAATGAGGTATGCACTCACTTATTTTTACTCTGCTTCCATAATCTATTTCAACTTTAGGTAATCATAAGCAGTTAGAATTCTATGATAATAGATATGATCATTAGAGAATTATAGTATCCTATCACAGGACTAGTTGATATTTTTGTTCAAAGTAAACAACTTACCTTGGGGGTACAGTTCAACAATTGTAATGTGCCCTGTGAAACTCTTGATAAGTGGAGATTAAAATCCTCACTGTTATTCACTTTAACAAACTGCTTCAACTTGCGAGCAGCACGATATAAAAACATACCTTCCTATTACAGGAAAAAAAAATCAGAAGCGTTGTGGTTCAAATAAAATATTAAAAAATGACAAGCTTTCCTAAGGAGCCTAAAGCCAGAGCTGTATTGCCAAATAATGCCCCACCTCCACCGCAGATTTCCATTCCAGTTAATCACATGACTGACAAGTAACTAGACTGAAACTGTTTAGCTCCTAAGTGACAGTCTGGAGGGCCTAGAATTTGGCTTAAGGATTATTTGACTTTTTGAAGTCTTCTTTCTTCATAATATAAACTTAATGATCTTAGCACTTATGGATGAACATATAACAAGATTATTCCATTTTAAATGAGACAACCAAAGGAGAGGGCTTCTGGAGGCAACAATAATGAAAGGTATGTGGTTTCTCTTCTTATTTTTGTACCTTTTGAGCTATGGATGAATAGCTGGAAATTAGAAAAAAGGGTCCATATTCACCTCAAACAAGTCTTTCAAATATTTAATGTAAGAAATTAAAATAAAAAGAATTTATGAATATACAGTGCGATACTATGAGGTTAACTCAGCTACTATGAGTTTAAAAAAGACTACTGAATATCATACTAGTTTCTCTAGAAGGAAATGACACAAACTTTTGCTGAAAGGTTGGTAAATTTTAATATTCCCCCAACCAGAGGTAGTAGTTGTTTGAAAATAAGCAAATATTGAAAGAAAAAATTTCAAAGTCCTAGAAGTAAATTATGCCCATGACTTATGTTTGTGTGTGTGTGTGCAAGCAATCACTCTAACAAGCATTTTCCTGCATAAGAATGTTACAAATAAGGGATATGTCTGTCTTTGAATTCAGCAGTTTTAGCATTTTCAAAGTGAAAACTGAAATGCTAAAATAGAAAAAAAAATATTTACCAAATAAGCATAGGGCTTTTTGTAAAATAAAAGTATAAAAGAAGACCATAGTATAATTTAATAGGTCAGTGGGAATTGTCTGGTTAGAACAAAAAGAATATGTTATTAATATAATCAATATAATTATCTAACACATACAAATAACATAAGCTTCTATAAAATCAAGCTTGAATGACATATAAATTCCAAATAATTATTATTACCTTATTATCATCACATGCATGTTTTTTGAAAACTTTAGGTTCATTATTCGGGCAATTGGTACGATTTTTTATCATAGTGTCCTGTAAAAAGTAATTATATAATAGTATGGTTAAATTGGGGACTTTTCTAATATATAACAATTTTAAAAACAACAATGTCATGATACTTGGTCTTAATATGTGCATCTTAAGGAAAATAACTTTAGCATGGCTCAGCTGACTAGGCATAAAGAATAGTTTCTATAGCTAAAGAATAAACAAGTATATACACAAACCCTCACATATTTAGAGCTTCTCCCAGACTCCATAACTTAACCCCATAAATCACTGAGAGGATCTAGTTCATTTGGGGAAATAGAAGTACCTATTTTAGAAGTTATACTATGTAGACAAAGTACAATAAATTCTGAAATCATGAAGTTGAGATGCGTTTAAGAGGTTTTCCAGTCCAGTTTCCTGCCACTACAAAACAGCAACAAAAAGAATTTACATAAGAATAAGAGAAAACCTCTTGGCAGATTGAAGTTGAAATTTATTCTACAGCATTTTTTTTTTGAAGATTTTATTTATTTTATTTGAGAGAGAGAGAGTTAGCGAGAGCAGGAACACAAGCAGGGGGAGCGGGAGATGGAGAAGCAGGCCTCCAGCCAGGCAGGGAGCCCGATGCAGGGCTTGATCCCAAGACCCTTGCATCATGACCTAAGCCAAAGGCAGACGCTTAATGACTGAGCCACCCAGGAGCCCCTATTCTACGGCATTTTTAACAATCCAATTTGTCTGGGACACTTGAGATAGAACTTTGCTAAGAAACAATGGGATCAAGTGTGTGTGTATTGTTACGTAGGAGTAGGAAGGCAGACAATACATGTTCATTTTTTATTTCTAAGGAATGTAGTAGTAGAAGGTGGGGATTACCCGAATTCGGAATTTAGTTGAGGTATTAGGAAGAATTTCCTAAGGATTCAGATTCTCTTCTACGCAGGATTGGACTAGTTCTGTCAAGCAAATGAACAATTTCATGCTATCAGAGCTTCCAGAAGGATTTCAAGCAATCTTAGCCTGTATGTTGTCACCAAAGAAACAGGGTAAGTGGAAGAATGGCAAGATTTAATCATGGGCTTCTAGTCTTCATCTGTCTCTCAGAAAAGTGTGCATTACTCTGGTCACCTGAGAGAAGTGTAAATGGTCTCTGGGTTTATCCTGACTTTAATTGTATTTACTATCTGCTTTACTGTAGGAATTAGTGTTTGAACATTCATTTAACCACTCAACGCTTACTATCAGTCAATGTGCAGGGTCCTTGCCAAGCCCAAGGGAAAAACAGACTAAGAAAGCACAGTCCCAGTTTCTTGTTGCCATTTGATATAAAGGGCAGATACTACATCATCCCATGGACACTTTTTATATCACTTCTTACCTTTGTTAAGTGTGTGCTTTTGTAAACAAAATATTTGTTAGTGCCTGTCTCCTCATACTGCAAATATCTTAAGTGCAAATGGATATATTTTCTATTACTAACTTCATGTTGCCATTATACACATTCCTGAAGAGGTAGTAAAGAATTAACATTTGCCTATTAAATCATCTTCCTATGGATTTCCATTTAACTCAAAAAAAACCCCACAATAAATCATACATACATTTCTCTTTGATAAAACATAGAGCATTTCATTTTTGCCATGCCATTATTAAAAAAAAAAAACCCATAAGAGAGACCCTTAACTATAGAGAACAAATTGAGGGTTGATGGATGGAGGTGGGCAGGGGATAGGATAAATGGGTGATGGGCATTAAGGGGTGCACTTGTTTTTTTTTTAAGATTTTTTATTTATTTTATTTATTTATTTGAGAGAGAGAGCATGAGAGGGGAGAGGTTCAGAGGGAGAAGCAGACTCCCTGCTGAGCAGGGAGCCTGATGCGGGACTCCATCTCAGGACTCTGGGGATCATGACCTGAGCTGTAGGCAGTTGCTTAACCAACTGAGCCACCCAGGTGACCCAAGGAGGGCACCTGTGATGAGCACTGGGTGTTTTAATATATAAGTGATGAATCACTAAATTCTACACCTGAAACTAATATTACACTGTATGCTAGCTGGAATTTAAATAATTTTAAATTAAATTATTAAATTATTTAAATTAAATTAAATAATTTCAAATTAAATTTGAAACATTAGGAAAAAAAGAAGATAGACAAATGTGCATGTTTTCCAATTTACCAAAAATATTATGCAAAAATACAGCATAGAATTAGTACTTATTTCTTGGATCATTTTAACAAATTGCATGGCACATGAATATATGAAAAGCCACTTGGGTAAGCCATTGCTCCAATGAATTTTTAAAAAACTCATTTAGATGTAGGTATATGTTCTTATATGCATGTATAACATACAGAAAAGTAATGTTATACCAGTTGATTTGTTTGCCAAATGTTTGCTACAGTATATAAAGATGTTACTATAAACTAAAAGATTGACTCTTATATAGGTAACAATTATTGACTTCAGTGCCTTTTGTGAATACATTAACAGGTATATATGAGTGCATATTACAGTTGGTTTCCGAAATTGTTTTTATTCAAGCCTGATAAGAAGGATGGCTCAGACTAAGGTTAATAGAATCACGGAGTTGGAAAGAACCTTAGATGTCCATCTCTTGAGTTACTTTACTTGATTTGCTTTACCAATAATAATTTCTTATAAGCATCATGACATGTTTGAAGATTTCTTCATATTTAATATGGATATGGAAAATTAAAAGAGAAAAGCCAGGATCACAATGACTGTGAACTGCAATATTTTCCAGTATAAAACATGATGTTATATAAATTGTTCTAAAAATACGTGTCTTTTCAATCTATAGATTTACATGTCTTTCATTTCAGCATAGTTTTCTTCTTTGAATTATTTCCCTTGCACTTGTAACAGTATCTTCTTCAGAAACACTAATTGTGTATCCAATGGATTTTCTATTTCACCTTTTCTTCTATATATTTGTCTTTGATTTTTTATAAAATTTCATTTTTTGTGATTTTCTCCACCATGTCTTCCATATGCCTGTTCTAATGGGGCACTTATTTCTGGTTTCCATTTTATTCTCCATTTTTTCCCTAAATCTAAAGAGCTCACCTTCATTTTCTCTGTTATCTCTTCTCCTCAAACTGTATTATTTTTTAGATTTTTTTTTACTTTGGTTTCTTAGAGAGTGTTGAGAAAAATCTGACATTTTCTACTGCTTTCATGGGTAATTAATCTTTGATCTGAATTCTTCATTTTCCTTATCTATGTTTTCATTTGCTTATTTACATGTTCATTTGCTCATTTATTTTGGTAGTATCAATGCATAGTTTTTTTATTTTCTGGAGATATATAGATATAGATATAGACATAGAGATATATATCAATATATATATTTAAATTCAATTAGTTAACATATAGTGTATTATTAGTTTCAGAGGTAGAGTTCAGTGATTCATCAGCCTTATATAATACCCAGTGCTCATTATGTCATGTGCCCTCCTTAATGTCCATCACCCAGTTACCCCATCTCCTCACCCCCCTCCCCTCCAGCAACCCTCAGTTTGTTTCCTACGGTTAAGAGTCTCTTTTGGTTTGTCTTCCTCTCTGGTTACATCTTGTTTTATTTTGCCCTCCCTTCCTCTATGCTTCTGTTTTGTTTCTTAAATTCCACATATGAGTGAAATCCTATGATAACTTACTTTCTCTGATTGACTTATTTCACTTAGCATAATACCCTCTAGTTCCATCCACATTGTTGCAAATGGCAAGATTTCATTTTTTTGGATGGCTGAGTAATATTCCATTGAATACATATATATGTGTGTTCAATGGAATATATATACACTATATATATTCTAAAAATATATATACACTATATATATTCTAAAAATATATATACACTATATATTCCTTATATATACATATATATAATATATATGTATTCAATGGAATATATATACACTATATATATTCTTAAAAATATATATACACTATATATTCTTTATCCGTTCATCTGTCGATGGACACCTGGGCTCTTTCCCTAGTTTGGCTATTGTGGACATTGCTGCTATAAACACTGGGGTGCAGGTGTTATTTTCTGGTTAACTTTGAAGGGATGCAAAACTAAATTAGATTATTTTTCAGCTAATATTCAACTTTTCCCTCTACCCCATCAGAGGATGTATCAGTTTTCTAGGGCTGTTGTGGCAAGTTGCCAAAAACAACAGAAGTTTCTTTTGTCACAGTTCTGGATGTCAGAAGTCCAAAAGGAAGGTACCAGTTGGATAATCTAGGGGCGAATTCATTTGTTTGCCTCTTCTTTTTTCTGTCAGCCACCAGCAGTTTTTGGTGTTCCTTGACTTATGGCCACATGGTCCCAGTCTCTGCCTGCAACTTTATCACCTTCTTCTCTATGTGTGGGTCAAGTCTCCCCCTGCCTTTCTCTCTTTTTTTTCTTTCAAGTTTTTATTTAAATTCTAGTTAGTTAACATACAGTGTAATATTAGTTCAGGTATAGAATTTCGTGATTCAACACTTACACGCAAGACTCGGTGCTTATCACAAGTGCCCTCCTGAATCCCTATCACTTATTTAACCCATACCCCCACCCCCGCTCATCTCCCCTCTGGTAACCATCAGTTTGTTCTCTATACTTAAGTGTCTATTTCCTGGTTTGCCTCTCTTTTTTTCCCCCTATGTTCATTTGTTTTGTTTCTTAAATTCCACATATGTGTGAAATCATATGGTATTTGTCTTTCTCTGACTTATTTTACTTAGCATGATACTCCCTAGCTCCATCCATGTCATTGCAAATGGCAAGATTCCATTCTTTTTTCATGGCTGAGTAATATTCCTGTGTGTGTGAGTGTATGTGTGTGTGTGTGTGTGTGTGTGTGTGTGTGTGTGTGTGTGTGTAACATCTGGATGCATGCATCCTTTCGAATCTGTATTTTTGTATCCTTTGCATAAATACCTAGTAGTGCAATTGCTGGATCATGGGGCAGTTCGATTTTTTAAAAGATTTTTTAAATTTATTCATTTGAGAAAGAGAGACACACAG